GGAGCAAGTTGTGGATAGGTGGAAATACCAGGCGACGAACCCAGATTTTCGACTCCCAAAAGATGAAAAAGCAACATAAATCCCCGGCACCAAACGGGGGCAAGAGCAACCAGGATAACAGAAACTCTGAGCCGATAAGTCTCGACAAGGGCAAACCGACAGATCGGCTAGAGTCTTCGGAGAAGCGACATAACCAAAAGGAGAAGGGATTTCGACCTCGAAGAACTACTGGATCAAGCCGACTCACCATTCACGGAGGAGATCATGAGAGAGAAGGTCCCTCCAAAATTCAAGCTACCCACGGTGAAACAATTCGACGGGACGACCAACCCAGTGGACCATCTAGATGCTTATCGGGAATGGATGGATATCTACGGAGAGTCGGAGGCGGTCAGGTGCCGAGTATTCTCGACTACATTAAACGAGTCGGCCAGAATATGGTTCCGACAATTAAAACGAGGGTCAATCTCGAGTTTCAAAAGCTTGGCCAGAGCATTCGTGACGCAGTTTGTAGGGGGACGGTGTCGGAGCCGACCCGTGACTTATCTTTTAACTATTAAACAGAGGACAGCAGAGAGTCTACACGACTATGTAGCTCGGCTCAACGAGGAGAAGCTGCAGGTAGAAGGCCTAACAGACGCTGTATCTCTGCTGGCCTTCATGTCTGGCGTCAGGGATGAGCATTTGTCATTTTCGTTCGGAAAGAAAACACCGAGTACCTTCTCGGAGGCGCTAAGCCGAGCTCAGAGGTACATGAGCGCTGGTGAGTTCTATTACTCAAAAAGGGAGCCAGACGGAAAGCGAACCGACCAAAAGAGGGAGAGGTCGGGAGATAAATCGCAGGGGTCGAGATGTGAGAAGAGGGATCGGAGTAGCCAGAAAGATTCACCCCGAAAATTTGAAAAGTATACCCCGACCACCGTTCCACTCGAGCAAGTGTTGATGGAGATCAAAGACCAAAGGTTGCTTAAGTGGCCGGAGAGGATGAATGCCCCGTCAACTAAACGAAGTAAAGGCCGATATTGCCTTTTCCACTGGGATCACGGCCATGCAACTCAGGATTGTTTTGATCTCAAGGAAGAGGTGGAAAGACTAATCCGAATGGGCTATCTCAAAGAGTATGTAGAGGACTCTAAAGCGACACAAAACGGCGAAAGCGACAAGTCTCCTGCTCGAGAGATTCGAATTATAATGGGAGGCCCCATAGAAAGAGAATCTGGGAGAAAAAGAAAAGCAGATGTGCGAGAAGCTAGGGCGAATGATTACGCTTGTTTACATGCGTAAAAAGAAGGTTTTAGATGCTGTTTTTACTATGTTTCAGCTTTGTTTCGGATTTTTCTCGGTCGTTTGAGTTCCAATTCATGAAAAATTCATATATTATGGTTTGTAGTTGGCTTATATTGTATTTATGACATTTTAGGACCATTTGGGAGTGGAAATTAATCAAAAGAAGCAAAAAGACGAAAAAACATCATGGGAGGCGCCAGGCGCCTAGGAAGCCTGCAGAAAAACTGGTTTTCTTCCAACTTTGCCCTTAATGAAACGCGTCTTCCAATGCGTTTTGGTGGTTCCAACCGATGCATACGTGT